TGGCTATGCACTGCAGCGTCACAGGCTTGTGTATCACAACAGCTCTCTCGGAAGTCCCAGCTGGTTTGATGCTTGGAGGAACTGCAAGAAGCACCAGAAAAAAAAAGTAAGAATCACTTGAACATACACATTTAAAAATACAGGAGCAATATCCCACAGGTAAGAGCAGTTCTACTTCCATTTCACCTACTCTCATCTACAATTTTTCAACCTACTAACACAAATAAACATTTACTTAAAATCCGAGCACCTTCTTGCCAGCAATTTAAAATAAAGGCAGTTTGCTGCTTCCCCCACCCCCTCCCCTCGAGTAACCTACCATGCACAGTAACATCAAATTCCCTTTCATGTTCTCCTGCCTTATTTGCAGCCACACATTTATAGCGGCCAGTGTCTGACACTTGAGCTCGAGAGATGAGAATTTTTTGTCCGTTTAGTAAGATCTTATGTCCCGCTCCCTCTTCAACTGGTTGACCATCTTTCAACCACCTACCAAAAAAAAACCAAAGTACAGTCTCAGATCTCTGTGAAAGTCAGATCAACAGCACTCCTAAAATGTGCACAATGCTATTAAACAGAACATCCCAGTAACTCTTATTTGTACTTCTACGAAGGTTTGGAAATGTCAGGTAGCATTCTGCTTTTCTGTGTGCCATGGACTGAAATGGTTTATCAGGAAAAGGGAGTATAGGGGAACAGGCCCTAAAGAAGTCAGAAAGGTGACAGCTGAGAAGCAGTTGTAAAAGTGGATGCCACCATCAGAGGCAGACAAATCTCCAAAGCTAAAGCAATCATCGGTGGCAGATGAAAAGTGCACAGTTCCATTAGCAAGGGAATGAGAGTTTTCAGCTCTACTCCAATTTCCAGGACATGCATATTGGCACAACATACCAAACCACTTGAAAACAAAATCCTGATCCTGCCATGCGTGAGCCTGATACTGCCTTCAGTGGAGCCAGGAGTCTGTCCTCCACATGTTAACCATCACTACGTAACATGGGCAGTTCGTAACGACCACCTCCAAGCTCACATACTCAAGGAGAAGATTTTTTTCTGCCATAGCAATCCCCTTACGTGATAGTTGGTGAGGGTGTCCCTGTTGCTGAACAATCCAACTCCAAAGGGCTATGCAGAATCACAATGTAATCCAAGACCTCATCCCCACCTTCCACAAATGGCGGGACTATAAGAAAAAAATCCATCAAAATAAGTACTTAAGCATTAGAAATGTCATAAAAGTCTATCTCAAATAGTAATGTAAAAAAAACCAAAACCAACTTGACATCTATCTTACTTTGGGACATGTACAGATTTGCAGTTCATCACTGTTGCTTTATTGAAGAGAAACATCTACCTTACGATATTTTGTGGTTTCAAATTATTACTCTCACTCTTTTTTGTTGTTTCTCGTTTGCTTGTTTTTTCCAGGTTCTGTCTGGTCAATTCTGTGAACAGGGTGTGCGGGTGGACTTCCAGCACCCTCTGACAGCAGAAAGAGACAACGAATGTGCAGAGGACCCTCTTCCAGGTCCCTTTCACCCCGTCCCACTCTCTTGCAGGAGTGGGTGGGCTGGGGAGGAAGCACTGTCAGCTCCTCCACTGCCTAACACAGACACACCTGGACCAGCAGAACAAATGCATGCAACAGAACGCTGTGTTCTTCAAGGGGGCCCTTCAAAGCCTAAAAATGAAGCCTTTAAACCTTCGAATAAATCCTTCTATAACAGGAAAATAAGACTAACACTTGTACAAGTCATTTTCCCAGAGATATTCAGAAAGGACTGCTGAGATGCAGGCCATGGTAAAGGTTTGAGTGGAAAAAGAAGAAAAAAATCGTTTTCAAAAAAGCTTCAAAATCTGCACAACACAACTGAAATTCAGAGAAACTCCTCAGTAATAGTTCTAATGAATACCTTTCATATCTATGGTTTTCTTCTATGAAGGCAAGTTAGAAGAATTGTAAAGGTTACTGAGAACAGTATTTACCTACCATGTGCACAAAAACCCTTCAAGAACTAACCTGAAAGTAAAAGTCTTTAGTTGTCCTGTAACCCTGGACAGAAATTGCGTGCAGTGCCCGGAGTTAACTAGATCTGTAGCCTGACTGATCATATAACAATACCAACAAAAATAAAAACATACATCATTAGGTTTATGGAAATCTGATAAATCAGAAGTTCTGTTGCTCACACACCTAAGATTTCAACGTCATATCTGATCTCTTGTTCTCCAGCTATGCTTGTGGCCACACACAAATACTGGCCCCGGTCAGCCTCAGCAGCGTTCAAAATCTCCAGCTTCTTCCCACCAGCTACAACGCGGAGGCTGCTGCTTGCTTTCACAGGCACACCATCTTTTAACCAGGTAAGGAGAGGTGGAGGGTTACCAGCAGCTTTACACTCCAACGTCAGTGAATTGCCAGCAACCACCTGCCTGTTCTGGGCCGTGTCAGCATCCCCCTCAATTACTGGAGGAACTATAGAAAGGAAAAAATATATTGCAATTGATTAATTCTGTAACCAGAAATCATATTAAGAGTAAATGGGTTAGTTCCTTCCCACCCCCTCTGGCTCTATACGCCATTACGTCACACACAATTTCACGTGATAATTTGCTGCTGGGGCAAGCCAAGACAAAGGGGAAACAGAGAAGTCAAGTGATGTAGTTCAATACTGACCAGTTGTATAAAACAGAGGATCTGCCTGGTTGTGTAGGGATGAGGTCAGAAAGGCCAAGGCGCAACTGGAGCTGAACTTGGCAGGAGAAGCAAAGAATAACAAAAGAGCTTCTACAGGTATGTCAATCAGAACAGGACGGTTAAAGAAAGCATCCCCACCAAACGAGCAACAGTGGCAAACTAGCAACAACAGGTGAGGAGAAGGCTAAGGTTCTCAATAACATTTTTACCTCAATCTTCACTGCTAAGATCTCTCCTTATGCCTCCTGAGACGAAGGACTGCAAAACAGGGACCAGGGGGACAATGTCCCTCCCTCTGTAAGTGAAAGTCTGTGATCACCTGAAGAACCTGAACATACATAAGTCTATGGGACCGGATGAGATGCAACCCAGAGTCCTGAAGGAATTGGCTGATGTAGAGGACGAGAAGGATGGGGTTGATGTATTGACAAAGCCACTCTCCATGATATTTGAAAAGTCATGGCATTCGGGTGAAGTCCCTGGTGACTGCAAGAAGGGAAACATCACACCCATATTTAAGAAGGGAGGAAAGGAGGACCCTGGGAAATACCGACCTGTCAGCCTCACCTCTGTGCCTGGGAAGATCATGGAACAGATCCTCCTAGAAGCTATGCTGAGGCACATGAAGGACAGGGAGGCGATTCAAGACAGCCAGCATGGCTTTTCTAAGGGCAAGTCCTGCCTGACCACCAACTGAGTGGCTTTCTACAGTGGAGTAACTCCATCAGGAGACAAGGGAAGAGCAACGGATGTCATCTGTGTGGACTCCTGCAAGGCCTTTGACACGGTCCCCCACAACATCCCTCTCTCTAAGTTGGAAAGATAAGGATTTGATGGGTGGACCATTCCGTGGACAAGGAGTTGGTTGGATGGTCGCATCCAGGGGGTAGTGGTCAATGGCTCAATATCCAGGTGGAGATGGGTGAAAAGTGGTGTCCCTCAGGGGTCCATACTGGGACCAGTGCTGTTTAAGATCTTCACCAATGATATAGGCAGTGGGATTGAGGGCACCCTCAGCAAGTCTGCAGATGCAGTTGACATGCCAGAGGGAAGGGGTGTCTGCCAGAGGAATACAGAGAAACTGGAGAGGTGGGCTTGTGTGAACCTCATGAGGTTCAACAAGGCCAAGTGCAAAGTCCTGCACCTCAGTACGAACAATCCTCATCACCAGTACAGGCAAGGGGATGATGTGATAGAGAGAGCCCTGTGGAAAAGGACTTAGGGTACTGGTGGACAAAAAGCTGGACTTGAGTCAGCAATGCACACTCACAGCCCAGAAGGCCAACCTCATCCTGGGCTGCATCAAAAGAAGCGTGGCCAGCAGACTGAGAGAGGTGATTCTGCCCCTCTACTCTGCTTTCCTGAGACTTCACCTGGAGCACTGTGTCCAGCTCTGGAGCCCTCAACACAAGAAGGACATGAAACTGTTGGAGCGGGTCCAGAGTAGGGCCATAAAATCTGAGGACTGGAGTCCTTCTCCTGTGAGGACAGGCTGAGAGCTGGGGTTGTTCAGCCTGGAGAAGAGAAGGCTGTGGGGAGACGTTACACCAACCTTCCAGTACCTGAAGGGGGCTTACAAGAAAGCTCGGGAGGAACTGTTTACAAGGATGCATAGTGATAAGACAAGGGGCAATGGTTTTAACTAGAGCAGGGTAGATTTAGATTAGACCAGGTGACAGATCACTGGCACAGGTTGCCCAGAGAGGTGGTAGAGGCCCCATCCCTGGAGACATTCAAGGTCAGGCTTGATGGGGCTCTGATTAACCTGATTTAGTTAAAGATGTCCCTGCTTATTTGCAGGGGGAGTGGACCAGATGACCTTTAAGGGTCCCTTCCAACCCAACACATGCCATGATTGTATGACTCTATGATCTGCAGAGCTTTGAGATAGAAGAACTAAATAGGAAGGTCTTAAAACAGTGCACTGAAGATCCCACCCAGAGCGGCTATTTCAAATAAGTGTTGTTCGTCATGCATGTGTGAGAAAGGATACACAGAGACAGTTTTGACATTTCACTAAAGCATGGCATCAAGACGTGTGAAAACAAGAGCTTTTTGAGAGTCACGAAGCGCAGGGTGTAAAGCTTCCTCTACATGACCCTGCTAACAGCAGCCAGGCTTTAAATGCAGCCATCGACTGCTGCTCACCCTTCACAGGCCTGCAAATGCTGCTGACACTACAAAGGCAGAAAAACTTCCAAAACGCACTTCCTGTAACTTGACAAATAACCAAGTTCAACAAACTCTCACCGTAGACATCCACGTCGTATGTTTTCTCAGCAGCTCCAGCAGCGTTGCTCACACGGCAAGTGTACTTTGCAGAATCTGACACCTGGGCCCGAGGTATCTGCAGGAACTGCCCTCTGTCCACATACAGAGCCTGGGCGCTGGCAATGATCGGGCGTCCATCTTTGTACCACGTAATGGTAGGAGCAGGGATTCCCTTTGTTTCGCATTCCAGATTTATAAGGTTGTTAAGAAGCGCCGACACCTCTGTGGTAATATTCCCTCCTTTAATGCTAGGAGGGACTATTTCAAAAGACAAAACAACAGTATTGAAGCCTTAGCATGCAAGTCTATGTAGAACTAAATAAACTAAATATTAGAATGCTGTAAGAATAAAATATTTTCATTTAAACCCATCCTGGTGTTTTTTGCTATTTAAAATACCAAATACATCCAAGAGCCTCTATGACTGGGGGTGGGAACCGCTCAGTAGTCAAAACTTCTGAAGATGAAGTCACTTTCTTTGAGACTAAATATGATCTTAACAGTCTAGCTTTATGCCTATTTTTGAAACTTTTGGCCCACAGTAATTTCCTTTACTTGCTTGGCAGCAGTACTCAGATTTTTTTCTAGCAAACAAGCTCTCGTGTAAATCAGCCAATATAAAGAGTTTGTAAATCTCTGTAGAAGTAATAAAAACACAGTGCAATTGGCAACAGCTAAATTTATGACTGCTGAAAGTACCAGAAACATCTGGCAGACACATTAGCTCCTCCGCTGCTAAACGTGCTCCGTATATCCTCGATTCCCACTGACTTACACAGCACTCATTTAAAATGCCACTGCAGAAACACAGTGTCAGTGAATGGACCTGCCCTTACGAGATGGATCTTGCAGATTATCAAACCATGAGGTATCTTCCTAATTAAATAACGTGTGCAATAATACACAAACCTATAAAATATGCCAAAACACATCCAGTTCAAAGGTGAATGCATTTCTCTGTCAGCAAATGCTTTCATCCACAGAGATGGAGAATGGGTTTAATATGGTGCTTTGGGAAAATATCAAAGTCAAAAGTAGGGCTAAACAGGTAAAACCAAGTAAGAACTAGCAAGAATGAGCATCTAGGTTCCTCACTTACTCTGGGGGCTTCCATTTGTCCAGCCTAATAGGACTAATAGGAAATCTGAAAGTAGAAAGATATTCCATTCTATCACCAACCCATCTCTCTCTTCTGGAGAACCTGACGTAAGGTCTGCTCCTTCAGAGGGAGAATTTTATTTCTGTGGCTTTTTGATTCCTCTAATTTCACAACAGCCACAATCACCTACAAGTCCTCACAGCATTTTCTTTGTTCTTGATGGAAAAAGACTTCACTGTGACTGGTGAACAGGTGTATTTCTGTGCATGTGGCTGCTCCATGCTTCAGAAACACCCCAGATGAGGGAAGTAATGTATTGTAAGTTCACAGTTACCAGAGCAGAAGACAGATGATCCTCAGAAGAAATCCATAGCAAATGGGAACTCTGCAGCTCAAGGGCTCACGCATTCGAACTCCTACACTTCACACTCCGAGTGTCATCTCACCTATAGATTTCTGCACTTGTTTCCCCCTCATTTCTGTTAGCACTGTGCTTTCAGTTTTCAGGTCTGACTGGGCTTTCACACATTCTTTAGTCTTCCAAAAACTCTTAATCTTGTCTCGTATGAAGTCTTCCTTCTTCCATGAACCTTTCCCCTCCTTTTCTCCCAGCTGAAAATCTCCTAATTAACATTAAACTTATCTAGAGTAACCACAGGAATGATCTGTTCTCTGTGTCTTTGCTAAGACTCCACTGCTTGTAAAAACACAAAAAGTATACTCAGTGTGTTATAAACCCCACCAAAAAATAATAATGTTAACATGATTCTCTCATGCTAGCATTTATTCTCCTGCTATAACGATCCTTAATTCACACCAACTTAAGCAAGATGACATCCCACACTACCTGAAGATCATCTGGAACATTCTTTTCCAAAGACTATTTGGGTCTGATTCCTACTAGTTTTACTTTTGCAGTCACTTTAACTTATTCCTGCCTGAATTTACTCCTAACACAAGGTTAATGAAAATAAGACTGCAAGTATATTAAAATAAAAATCTTCTAATTAATTTTCCCTCTAATTAATTTTCCTCTCTAAGATCAAAATAATGAAGCCAAGGTGATGATAAAATAGTTCAGTTGAAACTAACTCATAGCAAAATGTAAGAAAGTCCTTCAAAAGTTTTTGCTTTCACCAATTAGAAACAGGTAAAGAGCACACAAAGGCCAAGCTTGCAGAGACTACATCCACAGACACGTAAATGCTCAAAAAGATTGCTATTAAGTTCTGTTTATGCACAAATTCTGCAAGATCAGAGCAAGCCTTAATTTATATTTATCTGAGCATCTCCACTTAAAAAAAATAATCTTATGTGTAAAATTAAAGGATCTTCTAGGATCGGGCATTCTATAAACATACCATGGACCATCAGCTTGACCTCCTTAACTTGTTTGCCAGCAGTGTTGGTGGCACTGCACTGATAACGGCCTTTGTCCATCCTTCGAGCATTCCTTATGTGTAGAACTTGATCTTTGTCCAGAAGCTCAACGTTGGGATCACCCAAAAACAAGGGCCTAGAATAGAGATTATTTGGCTTCACAGAGCTCTGAGCCCATCAAAATAAGTTTAAACTGACAGTGATAAGAAGGGGTCCTTTAATGGCCATAATTGTACCATTAAAAAGTACCACTTAGCACTAGAGTAATAGCATTAATGGGAAGAACCACTATAAAGTGACACACTGCTGTAATTAACTTTATTCCGAGTTTTTAGAAGAAACAAACCCACAAAAGTACTTTACTTGGGACATCAGAGCCAGAGTCCTACTCCTGATCTCAACTCCATTTTCTAGTTATTTAGGGCATTACGGTCCTTTGCTGATAACCAAATATCAGCTACTAGATGAAAGTGCCAGCATATCAATACCAAAGAGTAAGGAACCGTCACATCAGAGTATCTGTGGGTACTAGCCAATGTCTACATTGGACTACATTGTTAAACACCAATGATGTATAAAACACAGCCCATTTTGTTTCTCAGCTAATATTTAAGCCGCCAAGAATTCTTCTCTTAGTGTGCTTTTGTGGAAAATGAGATGAAACATGCAGCCTATAAATGTTTTAAAAAACTGCAATGTATATATGCAAAATGGCACAAGGCACTAGTTGGAAAACTGTTTGACATGGGTACTGTCTAACTACGAAAAAGTCATGGCAGCAAAACAACTGTATTTTAACTCATGATATGTTTAAAATAACCCAGATAGAATAAACTCATACAAAAAACTTGAAGAAATGGTTGTGTTTATCTTGCTTCAAGTATCGTCTGGCTCCAAATATCATAAATCTGCTTTGCAAGTAGCAGTGTCAGTAATGGAGCAGTTCACAAAGAAAAGCAGGATGCTAACTTCTGATGAGTAGCTTAGCACCTCACACCACCACAAACTGTATTCAATGACAACAACTGAACACTTCTCAGTTAAAAGCAGAGCTCGTGGGTACAGTGAACCGTCTTCCGCTGTGTTCGAAGAACAGAATAAGCTAGACAAACCAAACACTATCATATACTCACTTGCCATCTTTGAACCAATGAATGTCAGGAAAAGGGAAGCCTTTGGCTCTACATTCCAGACTGATTTCCTGGTTGAGGATGACTGCAATTTCTCCGGGGGTATCAGCACCTATTACACTTGGTGGAACTTTAAAAAGACGAACATTACAGGAAGAACTGGTATTTAACCAGGGAAGGTATGCTATGAAATGGGAAGAAAGGCAGTAGTGGATCATACTATTCCCTGCAAACAACTTCAGCTTTCATGGCAAAATTATTCCTGCTAGATCACAACATCGCTTCTACTAAGACAAGGACTTCCACACTCAGGCTAGTGAACTGTACCTAGGAAGACTCCTACATTAGACTGCTGGACACCCCAAATACAAAACAAAGTGCCAAAGACCAAAACCGAGAAACTAAAAGCAGCATTTAGTCTGTGTTACTGCAAGAATGGCAAATTCGCAATCTTCAAAAGCCACCATGCAGTACTTCTGCAGCCAGTATTTAGTGGGCAGTAAGAGGAAGAATTCATTTCTAATAAATTGAAATTTAACGGCTTCTTAAATATCAACTGTTTTTCAGACTACCATTTAAAACAAACAAACAACAACAAAAACATGGCACTAACCTAGTATATCTACGTTAAACAGCTTCTCAGAACTTCCTGCTACATTTATGGCTTTGCATGAATATTGTCCAGCATCATCAGTAGCAGCTTTAAGGAGCTTCAGTATCTTCCCATTATGCAAAATCTGGAGAGTACTGCTTTCCACGACCTTAAAAGAACCCAAGACATGAGCCTTTTATGATCCAAGTTATATCAGCCAAATATCACAGCTGGATTTCTATAAGAAAATGGCAGTTTTAGTCTAAGGATAATCTGTTTCCCCTTTTAGCTACAGCACTGATCTCTTCAACTTCTGCAACCTATTCAATGTGACTTGTAGCTCAACATAGAGTGGGAAAACCAAAAAAAATCTTCATCTATCAGTAATGGTCAGTCACAAAGGTGCATAAAGGCACCCCTCCTCATCTTAAACTATCACTTATCAGCTACAAGTATGAGCATAGGGACTCAAGGATAATCCTGAGGAATTCAAATCACCTCCAAGAGTTCTTATTTCTCCATTTACAGAATGAAGAAAATACAGTCATTGGTCCCCTCTGCTAGGACTCTGACATTCGCAATTCCTAGGGGAATCTTGAAAACAAAGACTTTACTTTTGACTTATTGAATAGCTGGATTAATGTATAAGTCATAGTGAGCTGGCTTTCTGCGTGGGTGCTTTCAGTGCAGTTTAAATGTATGTACATGTGCTTACTTTAAATGAATTTTCATACTAAGCACTCAAAACAAAACAAAACTGACTGATGGTGGCTATTTACTTCAATGAGGTGAATCACACATACCTGGTTATCTTCTTTATACCAGGAGATGACTGGGAAGGGGTTACCAGATACTTCACAGAAGAGACTTACAGTGTGATGAACAACTACAGATGTATTTGTCACCTTCTCTTGATCTCTAATTTCAGGAGGAACTACAAGAAAGCTCAAAGTCATATACTGAGCCTTCTATTCCAGTGATTTCCCAATTCCTCCCAATCTTTTATTTCTCTAGTGTACAAGTCTTCATTGGTCATTTGCTTTAAAGTTATTGATATAACTAGAGTTCTCTACAAATGAGACGCACTCAGTTCTTGGAGCAAAACAAAGATGGTTTGTATATAAACAGAAACAACAGAAAAAATATAGATTAACAGAATTAAAAAAGCAAGGACTCAGATTAGTTTTTGTAATTTAACTGCACATGGGCAGATTTATAGCATGCAATTTCCAACAAGAAAAGAGATGTTCTTCAAAAACAGTGCCCCAACAGTTTTATTTCTTATTTACCATGAACCTTCAGGTTGTATTTTCTTTCTGTGCTTCCAGCTTCATTGGTTGCCACACAGATATACTCCCCATTATCAGAAGTTGTAACAGAATCGATGATCAGCAGTGTCCCACTCTCCAGAATGGAAATCCCTGGTTCGCTGCCTGTCAGCTGTCTTCCATTACGCAGCCATTTGATGACTGGCTTTGGAACACCTAGGAAGAGCAATGTGAAACTTTAAGAAATGCTTCACTCAGCTCAGAGTAAGAAAGATTCAAATGATCCCCACTGGTTGCTGGAAGTTTTACTGGCAAGGACAATGGACAGGGAGGCCATGAGCTTTCAACCTTAGAGGAAGCCCTGAGTGTTACAGTACGATTTCAACATTAAAAATCTTAGTCCTGAACATTTTAATATCCTCGTTGGCTAGCGATGACTTTTCACAGACCTTCTACACACAGCAGTTATTTAAATCACTGATAGTTTGGTTTTTTCCACATAAAGTACATATGGAAAATATGGTGCAGACTGTACGTTTTTTACCACGGCAAGGAGGACACAGAAACTTGGTCATTCTCAACAGACAAATACACTTTTGTCACTGAAGGCAGTAACAATACGCACCTTTCGCAGGACATGGGAAGACAACGCGTTGATTTGCCACTGCCTCCTGAAAGGGACTGTTGTACGGAGGGTCCAGATCCTCAAAAGCAGGAGACTCTGAAAAAAAATTTAGACCCCCAAAATATCTTGACCTCCGCTCCCAGATGTGAAAACACAGTCTGGCAATACGTAACACTGCGTGTCTCATTCGCACCAAGTCAGACTCCAGTAATTCTCTTTACATTGATCAGAACGAGTACTGTACAAGCAGTCTTGATTTCAACAGGAACATTTGGGGAATTAAGCAATACAAAGAGGCTTTCAAACTGCACTGATACTGGTTCTCACTAAAGCTCCCTATATTTGTTCTGAAGGCAGACAGGGTTTCTGCAAAATCTGAAAAGTACTATTTACATTGGTTTTTCTCATACCACACATTAGTGCTACTTCCATCCTTTGTTCTTGTATCTCATTTTAAATCTGTGTGCAGACCGAGACTGTACAAAAAATATTATTTAGAATTAAGTAAAGTTAGTGGCAGTTCTTTGCTGTTTGTAACAACTGACTCTCAGCACCTCTAATCCAAAGGGACTGCAATGCTGCCTTAGACTACTAAAGGAAGAAATAATTCCTGCCTAAGTCAGTCATGCTGCACTGATGTCTGTCAGCCCATCAAGGGAGGAGTTATACTACACATTTAAATTGGCCCACTGACCACTGCTGCCCTGTCACCATTTCAAGAGCATGCTACCTGAGGGAAGAGCTCAATTTCAGCTCATGCAAAATTCCAATTCTGTTACTGTAAAAGAATTATTCCAATTCTGTATTAAGGACAGTTTCTGAAAACATCAGACATCTGAACACATGGAGGTAATATTTGAAAAAGAGACTTCCTACACTTGAATCTCATTTTAATTACCTACAACAAAACAAAATAATAATTAGCTTGAAGAATTTATTTTAAAAAAGAAGTACTGTATTTTGAGTTTCTTTTTCATATTTCTGTAAACTCTCCAGAGACCATTTGCCTATTCTAATTTTTCTTAAATAACATCAAAGCATAACATCTAAACCAGATTTGGATTTTGCATCATGTAACAGTCAACAGCAAAGGGCACTGCCCTGCAAAACATAAATCAGACAGCAGTGCATGAAATTATACCGAGACAGGACCCCAATATAAATACCTTGAACTTGTACCGTTATCTCGGAGGTGTCGCTGCCCGCTACATTACTCGCAATGCACTTGTAGACGCTGGCATCGGGAAGCTGCACGTTGCTGATGCTTAGGGTTCCATCTGGGCCGTGGATAAACTGCCCATCATCTGTGGGCACAGCACTTCTGCCTTTGAACCAAGTGACCGCTGGGGCAGGGATCCCCTGGGCACTGCAGGGTATGTCAACTCTGTGGCCGGCTTGGACTTTCAAAACTCGAGGCCCGCGCTGTATCTTTGGAGGAACTAAGGAAGGCAAGTTTAGTCCATGGCAATGTGAATGTACAAGATCATTCTTGAAGGAAATTTTCCATTTTTGTCATTTTAGAAAGCGTCCTCCCTTATTTACTGAAACCAAATTCCCTCAGGTGACTGAGGAAGCAGATCTGCACGTTCTCTGCATAGGAAAGCAGGCACGATACCCTACTGTTTAACTTTACTGGAAGAGGCTGCACGTCAATTTCTACTGCATGACTTCCATACAAGTAGTGTAACACTACTACACTGAGCACATTTGAAGAGCTATGGGTACTGGCTCTTTATAACACAAAACAATTCAAAAGCTTTTATGACAAAGTCAATTAAATTTTCCTTTTGACATTTTAATTTCCTCCCTCTAATCCCTGAACTTTGTATGCTTCCAAACACAAGTTCAGACAAGGAGACACAATATGACTGGAAGAGATTTTGCTGCTCCCAAAGAATAATATAAATCCAACATCACTCTTTTGCCACTATGTTTTCCTTTCTAAGGATCACTGACAATAAAAGGACTTAAAAGAATGTTTGAAACAATAAGAATGCCATTTTTCCAGATTCTCTGTTAATGTACAGTTACAGATAAACAAAGATGTGCCCTGATATCAGACTTCTCCACACACAGAACCAGACAGCAGTCTGTTACAGCCATTGTAACTGAATTAACGCAGTCTGAAGGTTTCAGAGCTGCCAGGGGCAATCTGGTACAGTCGTGGCCTGTGATCCACTCCAAAGACGTTCGCTGGCAACGGGCATTGGCAACACCACTTCCAAACTCTACATGAACCACAGAACTATCTATACTCCCACAATTAGAACTGATCAGCCTCAGCTGGGCTGTGCTAGGCCATGGCTCCTGCAATCCTGCTCCTACCTGCTTCAGTGCTGGCAGGTACATGTGCCACAACCTGTGTTTCCGGCTGACACAGCTGAGGAGGAATAAACCTGAGCATATGGAGCTAACACACAGCACTGTGTAAGTGGTTAAGAGATTGTGGTTTGGGCCCCAGTACAGGGAAGTAGGAGAGAGACAAAGGAGTGATAACATGATGACCCATGGTAAGAAGGAGAGTAAAAGGGATGTGGGTGCTGGCTTGAGCAAGAGCGACGACACCTTTACTGAGGGGGAGGAAGGTGTTGGTTTGAACAGAGAAAGTACAGTCAGATGGGTTAAGGTGGTAGTTGCCAAAGGTGGGTACAGCAGAACTCATATGCCTAAAGCTGTGCACCAAGACAGGAGCAGTTAATTATCCTTTCAGTTAAAACTTACCGTGTACACTCAGCTTCACTGACTGAGTCACATTCCCAGCAATATTTGTGGCTACACAGATATACATTCCACTGTCTGAAACTTGTGTCTCACTAATCTTCATTGACCCTGAAGATAGGAAAGTGTGTCTGGAAAAGAAAGAAGCAGATACACTATATAAACATACACTGAAAGGTGAATGACCTCTACTGACACATTGTTAATTGTTAATGACCGCTACCAGCTAAAACAACAATTCTACAGGGCACACCGAGTTGTGCCATTCTGAACCACTACATCCAGAACATGCAGTAAATATCTAAAACACAAGATTCAAATTATGAAATTTGTTTCTAGCTACTTACAGAATGTATTAAAATCTGTCTTTTTCTAGAAATGAGGAAAAAAAACCCCAAAACAGGTAGATAAATGGAGCTCTTCAACCTCCCATCACAAATGTTTGCTCAGCCCAGATCAGTGGGGTCAAAAAGTTAAACAACTTTTGATACTATTTCATCCTGGCAAAAAAGTTGTTACGACAGTTAAAGATGGAGGAGGAGTCTGTGAAGAGCTGACCAGTCCTAATGTTTATAGAAATTGTCAGTATTCATCACTAAATAGTTAACTAGTTAACTATTAATAATAATAATAAATAGTAATTAATATATAATAAATAATAATAATAGTTAATAGTTAATAATAATATAATAATTAATAGTTAACAGTACTGATCTTGCCTACAGCTCTAGTCACAGGCTTGTAACTTTACAAGATAAACTGGACAGCTAAGTCAAACTCTTCTTCTGTAGAACTCAAATGCAATAGAGATAGGGAGGGAAAAACGAAGAGGGAAGAAAATATGACAGCTAAGAATTGATAAGAAGAAATTCAAGTCTCGCACTCAAGGTTACATACAGGATTTAGGCAAAGTTCATGGGAATTAGTGGTCTCATCTGTCTTCCTTTCTCTGGCACACTAACTAGTAAAACATTATTACATGTGTACATATGGTGAATGTTGTGATTGCAAGGGCCTGGAGAGATGAATGGAAAGAAAGTGAAGTGTATGTCCTCTGAGCCACACAAATCTGTCTGACACTATGATTCCTCCTCTGCTGCCCATATCTTTCTAAACCCCAAAAGATATGAATGCTGGAGTAACTTATCCCCACTAATTTGTCCACTAATTAGAACTGCATTCTGATAGAAGTTCCTTTATTTCCGATTTCACTCTTCTCTTGTTTACCGGTCACATTTCTAACATCATCTTTGGGTGGTCTCAAAAAATGTTGTTTGGACTAGTTCTTTAACTTCCAATGACATCTGTAAACAATTTCATGGAACGGGCTGAGCTGGACTGCTGCGACTCTGGACAACTTGGACGTCTCCACAACAGCCATGAGTAAGTACCCTAATTTATCCATGTCTCCTGAGGTCAAATGAGGACAATAAGGGACCAAGAATGCAGATTCATTAGCGCATGTGATATGCCTACAGGACACAGCAGAAAACTCCACATCGATTACTAACAAGAAATCAACTTTGTGCACAAGCCTCCTACACCAAATATGCCAGCCCAGCAGCTCTTAGTTGCTGAGGCTGTTGCAGACTCACTGGAATGGGTGGCTCTGAGGTGCAGATTTGGGCACAAGGGAGCAGGCTCACCTTCAGGTCTGTACAGCTCTTTAATTCAGCTCAGACACTGGCTGATTCTTCCCACTTGGATCACCGAGAGGCACCGACCACAGGCACAGCAACTGCTGGAGCGTGCACTTGGCCAGCATCCCCATTTCCTGGTTTGTGAATACAGCTCCAGCCTTTACCCCTCCTGAGGTGTCTGGAAGACTACAAAGCACTAGCTTGTCCTGTGACAGTACCTGGCCCTTCAACTGGGAAGATGCAGACAATAATCACCTACTGGTTTCCTCTCTTATTTTGTGCCATACAAAAATTAACAAGAACGAACTCCAACATTGCGGCCCATGCTGATACAAGACAGTCCCTACCTCTTCAGTCCCTAAGGTTGTCAACTCAACATTTTTATGAGCATTTAGCTATGTTTTCACATGTTCAACAATATCTGGAGAGTTTTTTGGATTGAAAACACAGCAAGCAGTGAGCCCTTGTAAGAACTCCCAGACATTTATCATCATCTGTACTCTTCTGGCAGCTCAGACTTCAAATTAATAACAAACAATGCTCCCCTGAGCATAAATATGAAGTGCTTAAGAAACGAAAACCAGTTTTTAAACATTTATAATCAGGCACATATTACATAGGTTTCTGGGCACCATGACAATAAAAATATAACACGGTCTCCTTCGTCTTGCCCTCCTGAGACTGCGTATAAACATGCACTGGACTAGAAGCTGTACAACGATGCATGGTCCTAGTGTCCCTTGGAAAGGGACGTACGCTTGGGTTTGGGAAAGAGAGTTTCAAGACCTAGTAACACAGGGTCCTCGTAAAGGACAACTTCATACCTTCGGACTGATCCTGAGGCAACCAGAAATTATATACACTTCCAAAACCTTGAAAGCTTAGATGCAGTTTCACTTTTCGTATTCATCAAACATTGTTACCTTGGAGAGAATGGAGATATGAGCTGCATTTCTTTGGCCCAGGTAATTATGGGGGGTGGCAAGCTCTTTACTTCACATGGAAGTGTGACATCTTCCCCTGCAATTACTGAGATCTCTATAGGTTTATCATATGCATTTCCTTGCTGGTCTCCAGGCCTGGACACTCTAGGTTTCACTATAACATGGAACACGTTAAGAAAGTGCAATGAATATACATATTTGTACAAATTTAACACCATACAGTTTTGCTTCAGATTAAACATCTACTTTTTAATCAGGTATATAACATTACAATCCTGCTTTTAATGACATGTCCTCAATAGAGATAAATCACCATAATGCTGATGCACAGTGCCTGTAGCTCAGACACTGGCTGATGCCTACGTGCAATACCACAAATACCAGCAAGACTGCACTCTTTACCCAAAAAGCTAGATAGCAACAGATAGATGGAGTTCAGGCATATGTTGAACACACACAGCTTGCAACCAATACCTGAACTATGCTACACTACAGCACTAATACCTACAAGCCTAGAAGCCTTGCAAAGCAAGCCCACACCTAAATCAATTTTTGTGTAATACTGGGAAATAGCAGGAAGCTTTATGACCAGTGGGATTAATCCATCTTGATT